GGACGGGGTCTCCCACAACCTGCCTGTGGTTGTGGCTGAGGGGCAGCTCCAAGCATATCAGCACGGCGGGAACGTGCTGGTGCAAACGGACTTCGGCCTCACCGTGAGCTACGACCTGGTTTACCAGGCCAGAGTCACTGTTCCAGGGAACTACCAGGGGCAGACGTGTGGCTTGTGTGGGAACTACAATGGGCGCCAGGACGATGAATTTCTGCTCCCTGACAGCAATCTGGCCCCCAACATGGCAGCGTTCGGGTCGGCCTGGAAAGTCCCGGTCCCGGGGGCGGCCTGCGAGGACGGATGCAGCAGGAACAGCTGCCCGGTTTGTGAGGAGAGGAAGAAGGACGTCTTCAAACAGCGCCACTACTGCGGGGTGCTCACAGACCCCAACGGCCCCTTCGCCGCCTGCCACGGCACGGTCAGCCCCAGCATGTATTTCAACAACTGCCTCTATGACGTGTGCCTGGCCAACGGGGACTCCCCGGTCCTGTGCCAGAGCATCCACAGCTACGTGACGGCCTGCCAGGAGGCTGGGGCCTCCATCCAGCCCTGGAGGAGCGCCTCCTTCTGCCGTAAGTGCCGGGATGCCTCACCCTCTGGGGCAGGGGCAGTGATTCTGGGTAGCTCATGCCAGGCCACTGGGCTACTTCTGAGATGCCTTTGGGTGGGAACCAGCAACTTCAAGTTCCGCTCTAAGGTCTCGTCCCGTCTCCTCTCCTGGATGTCTGTACCTACAGCCCATGGGGTGAGATCTCTCCCCCCATCCAGTGCTTCTCTCTCTGTTTCAGCTCTGCGCTGCCCGGCCCACAGTCACTACGAGGTGTGCGCCGACCTGTGCAGCACCACCTGCACCAGGCTCACCGACACCAGGAAGTGCCCAGTCACCTGCGCCGAAGGCTGCCAGTGCGACGATGGCTTCCTCTTCGATGGCCAGGGCTGCGTGGCCCAGCAGGGCTGTGGGTGCTTCAGCAACGGGAAATATTACAAGGTACCGCCCCCTGCAGGGGTGTTAACACCCACCTGCTCGCCTCCTCCATGCCCTGCTCCCATCAGCCACGTGGGACCAGACTGTTGTGACTTGCCATTGGCCAATGCCCGAATCTCAGTGGAAAGACAAAAGGCACTGATGGGGCAAGGCTGGTTCCATGATCCCTGTATCCGGGGGGAGTTGGATCTAGTGGCTAGAGCAGGGTGGCTGGGAATCTCATGGGTTAAAGCAAAAGGAAGTGGTGAGCCAGGACTCCTGGCTCTGGGAGGAGGGTGGATCTGTGTCCAATGAAGTCAGAGATTGTAGCTTGGCTTTTGATCAGGGACCTGACAGTCAAAGATCAGAAAAGAGCAAGGGAGTTGGGAGCCCAGCCCCGAGTTCGGTTCCTGGCTCTGGAGAAGAGCGAGTGAGAGCAGGGGGCTGAGAGCCAGGCTGTGATTTCTGTGCCTGTGTCTGGGCTACGCAGAACTGAACATCTACCCCCTCCAAAGCGCTGTTTGCCCCTAATGCAGCTGTGCCTTATTTCCCCTGTTCCAAACAGCCCCAGCAGCTGGTCATGAGGAGTGAGTGCAGGGCTCACCTGCCAGCCCCACAGCTGTGCCAGCAACGAAAGCTGTGAGATGAGAGATGGGGCCATGCAGTGTGTTAACAAAGGTAATGGAGGGAGTGAAAGGGAAGCGATCACCGAGCCGCACATTAGAGCAGTCTCTGGGTACGTCTACACTGCACACTCAAATCGAAATAAGCTTTGCCAAATTTTGAAATAAAGCACAATTTCGAGATCCCTTGATAGGGATGCCAAACTAGTGGACGTGGGGTAGCTATTTCGGGATACTTGCAGTCTAGACGTACCCGCTGTGGAATCACAACTTAGAGCAGGGGAGGGGAACATAAGGCTTGCCTGGATCCAGGGCCCCTCCCGCATTGGGGAGCCCATGCTGGTGCTCCAGCTCCCTCACTCTCTCCCCGCGGGGCTGGAGAATCTGCTAGTCTGGGGCCCCTAGGCTCTAGTGTGCAAGGGGAGTGTGGGGCGTGCCTTTCTCCTTCTCAGTCGGAGGTCACATCGGTGAGGGTATTTTGGTTTTGGGGCTTTTTTTGTTTCTCACTTGTGTTCAGTCCCCCAACCATGGCTAAGGGTCTGGTCCTTAGATCTAGGAGGAGAGTGGGGTCAAGTGGTTAGAGCAGGGTGGCTGGGAGCCAGTTGTCCTGGGATTGGCCCGTATCTCTGGGTGGGCTGTGGGACCTGGTGAGTCATATGGGTGGGAGGAGGGGGTTGGGAGCCAGGACATGTCATATCAAGGAAGTAATTTTATCCTTGGCATTTGGATCATGGACTTGACAGTCAAAAGGTAAAAAAAATCTCTTCTGTCCTGCCATCTAGGTCAAACACTGGTGTTCTTACCCTGCCTATTTCCTTCATTCCCATTGGACAGACCTTCCATCCTGCCTCTTGGCAGAGCTTGGATGGCAGGAGCCTTGTGGTCCCTTTAACCATACAGATCTTTGATTCTGTGGAAGCCGAGAGAGTTTTTCCCCCATCAGGCACTGAGCATGGGGTTGTAGTCTAGGCCTCTCACCTGTAGAAAACTGTCTCTCACTGTCTCCTCCATGATTGGCCCCTCTGCTGAATGTCTTTGGGCCAGTTTGTGCTGGACCATAACTGGGTCTGTGCTGCACCAAGCTTGCCTGGCATCCAGCCCTCACTCATGGATTCTGGGATTTCTCTCCTTTCAGATCCCTGCAAAGGCCTGAAGTGCCGGGCCAAGGAGACATGCAAGATCGAGAACGGCCGTGCAATGTGTGTGCCCAACTACACTGGGACCTGCTGGGGCTGGGGGGACCCGCACTATCACACCTTCGACGGGCTGAACTTTGACTTCCAAGGCACCTGCACCTACACCCTGGCCAGTTACTGTGGGAGCGACCCTACCCTGGAGCCCTTCACCATCAATGAGAAGAACGACAACCGGGGGGGCAACCAGGCTGTGTCCTACGTGCGTCTGACCAACATCTACGTCTACGGGCACAACATCTCTATCCACAAGAACGAAGCTGGGAAAATCAGAGTGAGTCCAAAATGCACACATGGGTGGAAAAGTTACAGCTGGAATAAAACCATCTCCCCATCCATCCCCATACACCTGTATCCATCTCTGTCTATCCACCCACACAACTCTTTTTCTATCCATCCATCCCAAACATCCTCATGCATCTGAACATCCAAAAAAATGAACTGACTTCAAGTGATATGCTCTAGGTCCCTACCAAGTCATCTGTGCAATCTTGTCTCCAAGGATCACATTGGCCACCTGGTCCCTCTAGATCTCTTTCCCCAGTCTCCCTAGGCCACAGAATCCCTCCAAGTTCCACAGGCTAATTGGTTCCTTGGATGTACGGAGCGCAGTGTAGGACAGTGATGACCAGATGCAGCACAGGGCAAATGACAGCCGAACACCAAGAAGAACAAAGATGAGGAGGACCAGAGACGGTACAGGGTAAAGATGACAAAATCCAATAGAGTGTTACACTTTGGTTCAGTGATGTGATGGGAGCCTCAAGGGTTAAAGCTGACTACCCAGTGAAAACTATTGGATGATGGTGAAACAAATTATTTTTATTAAGTGGAATGATTTTTTTTTTAATCAAAGCTAACAATTAGCAAATGTTTTTTTTAAACTAGCAATTGCCCAATGCTTTTACAGGGTAGAAAACCCTAAACTTAGCTATACTTAATTAATTACAAACTTCTTTGATTACAATTCAACTATACCAAATCACTGGACTCTAATTTGCTTAACGAAAATTACAAAACCAAAGCCAATATAATGATAATAAAAACTCCATCCAAAGCCAGCCCCTCTATGGCTATTTTAGGGCAGCTGGTGGAGTTAGTCATAAATGTACTTTTACAACTTAACAACTCCGGGGCTTCTATTTCTAACACCTAAATACTTAACCTAAATACAACACTACTACACAACACAATTTCACTGTGTAATTCTGTAAAGCGTATCTAAGTTCTGTTAATCACACTGTGTAAATTGTATAAACTTAACACAATTTAACTATTAATTAAACCAATAACTTATACATTTAAGCAATACTTACAAATCCAGCAACGATAACAACTGAAAGACACACTAGAACTCGGAGCATGCTCAGGACTCGTGCATCCATATATTTGATTTGAAGGGTGGGGAGGCAGCCTCAGGGTGATCAATCCTTTAGCCGGGCAAAAAAAGACACGTGCCCTCAATACACGGAACCTCCGTCGAACAAAGGGGTAAAGGGTCTTTTCTACAAAAATTCGGTGTCTAATGCCATGCTAGGGTCTGCATTTGGCAGGGCCTGATAGGCTAGTGATGAGGTAGTATGACAATACTGCCCTATAGGAATTTTCATGATGTATGCGTGATCCCCTCGTGGACAGGACCAGATGGGGCATAGTTAGTGTGAGACAGTTGTGTTTTATTACCTTATGTTTTCTTTTTCTCTTGCCCCTAAGACCGGTCAAGCTACGGTCAAATGAGGCTTATCTGTAACTGCAGCTAAGCGCTATCTAGTCATGCTCACCTCCCTGTTTTTTGGTGCCTGTGAGTCTCAGGATGCCTGTAAGGTCAAATTCCATTCACAAAAACTGCATTGTGCTTCCCATGCTCCTCTGAGTATCTGGGTTTTGTGTGAGGGGCCTTGTGTGGCAGGATGGGCTATACGCGAAGGCCGTGGACAGAAAAAGCCTGCTTTACAACACAGAGAACAAGGATGAGGTGGCCCAACCCAACAAAGTGTTGAGAAATGACACCAAGAAGAACAAGGACAACAAGGACCCGCCGGAATGAAAAACACGGATGGTGCTAATGAAATGCAATGAAGGGCTATCACGAATGTCCATGGAATGAACAGAGCCTCCGGTGGTCACACTCAATAAATGAGAGGAGAACCAAACATCTGAACAAGGATGACCATGGCTGAATAGAGAAAGGGTTGCAGTGACTGAACACAAAGAACAAAGACATTGATGACCATGCACAAAGCAGGGTGCTGACTACCATAGATAGAGACAATCCAAGAAGAACCAAGCTTTCATTTTGAAAATAATTGAAAACTTTTTGACCAATTCTCTCTCCCCGCCCCCACAATCGTACCCAGACATCCTCTGCAGAACACATACTGACAAGAGCAAATCCCTGATGAAATCCATAGGGGTTTCTCCTCTTTTCAGGCTATACAAAGCTCTCCTGGAGGAAGGATTTTGTGGTGTGTGGAGGGGGTTTCAAGCTGCAAATATCATTATCATTTCCTACAGTTATCTAATCAGCACTGGAAATACACTCCAGAGCCAGATCCCTTGGAGACAGAACATTTTGTCCCTTAGCTCTCAAGCACTCATTCTGGGCCCTCTCCTCTGTACTGTCCCAGAGCAGTGTGCCACTTGTGAGGGGGGAGAGGGTCTTTCCTCCTACCTCTAGATCAATGACATGAGCAGCAGCGTGCCAGTGACCCTGGAAGATGGTAAAATCAAGCTCTACCAGAGCGGTCTCAGTGCTGTCTTGCAGACAGACTTCGGTCTGAAGGTGTCCTATGACTGGAATTGGCACCTGATCATCACCCTCCCCAGCAGCTATTATGGGGCCACGTGCGGCCTTTGTGGGAACTTCAACCAAAACCATGGAGATGAAATGATGTCACCTACCGGCACCAGGGTCTCCTCCATCGTGGAGTGGGCCAGGAGCTGGAAAGTCACAGACCGGGACCCCTTCTGCTGGGATGACTGCAAAGGGAAATGCCCAGCCTGCGAGGAGGGCAAGCAGGAGATCTACGGGGGCGACGAATACTGCGGTTTGATCAGCAAAGCACCGGGAGGGCCCTTCAGAGAGTGTCACCCTAGAGTGAGCCCTGAGGACATTTTTGACAGCTGTGTCTATGACGTGTGTCTGAACGGGGGAGCCAGGATAATCCTGTGCCAGGCGCTGGGGGCCTACGCTGCCATCTGCAAGAAACAGGGCCTCACCGTCTATGACTGGAGGACACCGTCCGGCTGTGGTGAGCTCTGGGGTTTGGTTTCTTTATTGACAAAGGCAGCAATTACACTAGCCAGGCTGTTTACTCAACTGCTTGAGGAGATGCTGAGGGGCTAAGTATCAAGGCAGGTACCAGGCGTAGATACTGGACTTGACAAGTAGGTACTCTGGGGACACATGCATTAGAAATCTGTAGAATAGACTACTGAGACTGAGAGTGGATTTTAGAGACTTGGATTTGGTAGATTAGGTTAGATTAGATCAGATCTGGTGAGGTTAGGCTAGGCTAGAATAGATCAGAGAAGGAGTCAATATATTGTTGGGCGACAGATAGATTGCATGGATAGCAAAATTAAACTGATGGATTAGGTTTGGAAAAGGGGGGGGGGGGGAAGCAGGGTCATCCCCCCAATAATTGAACTCCTCGGGGTCCTGTGGGACCCTGGCAGGACTGGCATGCTGTCCTCCAGTCGTGCAGCCCCATCAGAGCAGGCCCCTGTGAAAATGCTGGATTTAAATGCCCATGCCTGCCCCAGCCCAGAAGAAAACACAGTCAAAGTTTGGAGATGACACAAAAATTGGGGGAGTGGTAAATACAGAAGAGGGCAGGTTCCTGATTCAGAGCACTCTGGATTGCTTGGTAAACGCAGTGCAAGCAAACCACATGCGCTTTCATACAGGTAAATGTAAAAGGTGCAGGTGGGAACAAGAACCAGACTGACAGGCAGGGGACTCTGTCCTGGGAAGCAGGGGCAGTGAGAAAGATGTGGGGTCATAGTGGAGAACCAACTGGACATGAGCTTCCAGTCAGTCGTGACCGGTCCACCCCCCTCCAAAGCCGCTCCATCCCCCTGTGCAGGGGAGGTCATGGGAGACAAGGCAGGGATCTTGTGAGGCACAGAACATTTTATAACATCCTCCCCCATGTAGTCTAATGCCCAAGGTCAAATATTCTGTCATCTTTTGGAAACACCCCCCCCCTTTGGAATGAGGCAGCTGTGTCGTTGTACTCACCACAGTGAATGTGGGGGGGGGGGGGGGAGGGTTACTTCCCTATGGGGGGGTCACCATTGGGCATGAGGGGAATGATTTAGTGGGTGGATTGAGGTGGGCTTATCGGGCCCCTGGGCAAGGTGGAGGGGGGCACAGCTCCATGCTCCCAGAAGAGTTGGGGCTTTGGGAAGAAGGGGATGGGCTGGGGAAGCCAGTCCTCAGCGCTGCCCACAGTGCACTGCTCAGGCCCCCTCATCTCCTAGGCACCCCTCAGACCTGTCCAGAGCTTTTGCATGATGCTCCGGTGTCGATTTAAAGGCCCAGGGGCTCAGGCTGCAGCCATCCTGTCATTGCAGTGATGGCAGAACTGGGAGCCCCAGGCCTTTTTGAAACGCTGAGCCCTAGGGCAACTGACCCCTTTGCTCCCCTGCCAGTGGGCCTGGGTAGACTGGATGGAAGATGGATTGCTGGGTAGCAGTGTCCTTGGAGAGATTCAAATGCTTCTCAGCTGATGAGCCTGTGTTTCTGTGGGTGGTGCACATCTGCACAGATCTTAGTACATATAATAAAATTTATTCCCTGCACGGATGGAAAAAAAATAGTGGGAACTTTTGTGGGTGGATTGGATGGAAGAGAGGGATGGGTCAGAAAGAGATAGAAAGAGGAGAAACACCCAAAATATAACCTGGAAATACAGGGTAAATCCCCAGCAGGATCTACTTAACTGTCCCAAGGCATCTGGCAAGAGTGAGGCTTCCAGCTGAAGCCTTGACAAGTGAGATCCAATGTTCTTAGACTTTCTAGAAGAAGGGGGCACTTCTCTTCTGCCCCAGGTACCAAACTCCCAGTCCCCACTTGGCTGCTCCCCAGTGATGCTCCCTGAGTGTGGCTGCTAGTACATTGGGGTTGGTTTTTTTTTTTTTTTTTTTTTTTGCACAGTTGTATTAACAGATCGCAAATATACAGTTTGAAGCTGTTGGATGAAATGTTAATGTTTGCATTTTTTAAGATAAAAATCCAGAAAGAACATGCTACTTTGAAGAATATTTTATGAATGGACTCTGCCGTATTTGGCTAGATGAGGGTCGAACTAGCTAGATCGAATTAAGGGGTTTATAGCCCCTTAATTCGAACTAGTGGGAGGCTAGCCCTCCCCAGGTTTCCCTGGTGGCCACTCTGGCCAACACCAGGGAAACTCTATTGCCCCCCTCCTGGCCCCGGACCTCTTAAAGGGGCACGGGCTGGCTACGGTGCCTGTGCCAGGTGCAAGCCTGCCAGCACCCAG